GACTACTACAATGCTTTCATTGTTAGATCGCAGAGCCATAACGCACTTCATTAATGAAGGAAGTAATCATTTCATCACGTGGCTTTACTCTCTTCTGGCTTCTTGTCGTCCTGCCTTCTTCTCTACAAGCCAAACTTTAATACTTATCAAGTTGGGAGCTACCCTATAATGTAATTCATATTGAAGTGGAATTTTACAGACAGTGACAGACTGCTCGAAGGATTTTGTGTTTTATTTGTCGTCGCTGCATGTTCCAATCCACATATATTTTTTCGGTTTCTTCAACTAGATCTGCTTGGATTGTGGTCGGAGTTACAGCGTTCCAATATGTACCATTGAGGTCACCTCTTCATGTCTGCGCGCTGCTCTGACCCTGTCCTCTCCTATTTTGGGCTCCCTGCCACGGGCGGGATGTCTGTGTAAGCGCGACATAAGGGTAACCCCATGAACGGAACGCACCAAGATATTGAACTGTGGGGACGGTGCAGTGAGACATAGTTCCTTGAGTGTATTAAGTCAACTTGTTGTTGCTTATCATTTTTGAGGATTTCTAGGACTGAGTCGATTCGATATTTGGAAGTCCGGGAAAGGCCTGGATCATACTATCAAATCACGTATCAATACTTTGAATTTTTTGTATGTTGGAGCATGACAGTAGACTTTACATTACAAGGTTCTCGATAGCAAATCAGTATTTCGCGAAGTTATTAGCCAGACATCTGTGAATGCGCAAACCACCTCAAGCATGCATCGCATAGTGTTCATGGGGATAAAATGAACTGACTCTGTGCGAGTGCGCATGATGGCCCTTTGCCCACATATAGGAATGCCCAAGAATTCGGTCCATAGGTACACCAGCCCCCTCGCCTTTTGCATTGGGCCATGCTGCGGTCATAGAAGACAGTTGTGGTGGTGTTACTCTGTGTTCACTGCTCCATCCGTAAACTTGTCGGTTATAGTAGTCTTCAGCGAGAAGAACAAGCCAGTTTGTGCTGGCACACAAGATCATTTCCAATTGCATTTGAACCTTAGAGTTACCGTTGCAACGTTCAGGTGCGAATCGATACATTAGGAATATCACCTAACCGAAAACAATTGGATTAGACATTTGCAAGAGATTTTTTACGTAATACGATCTTTTTGCAATGTAAATTACGGGAAGAAGCCCGGCGCAGATCGTGATATAGTTAAAACCCTACAGAAAATTAATGGAATGAGCAAGTGTGTGTCGCATGATTAAACAACTTACCATCAATAATATTTCTTTACCACAAACGAAATCGACCAGATCATTTCGTTATACCAATATAAGTTGTAGCGCTACGCCATATTTAGTCCACGCGAACCCTCTGTTTGAGAACATCGAGGCATTCAATGAGGATACTGGTGCACTGACCATCCATTCGTTTTTGACAATGGTGCAAAAGAAATTTCTGCAGCAGATCTCAGCAAAAAAATGTTTTCCCTAATTTCTCGGCTATAACAATGTCACTTTTTGGGGAAAAATCTTCGAACCTCGGAACGAGTAATATGTTTAATAAATTTTTGGTGGCAAAGTCCCATACTTCAATATTCAGTGCTATAGCAAGGTACAAATAACATTGGGGTTTAGCTTTACCCTCGACCATTTAAACATGCAGTACGCAGCAAACTCCAGTAGGAAGTTTCCTTCAAACGACCCTAATTTATTGGAGGACTACTTATTCTTCCATCCTTCGGTGTAGACACTTCGTAATAGACA